AAAATAGCAAATATGCAAATAAAAGCTGGGTTTAGAGGAGTCACTTGTTTCACAATTTTTGAGCTTACTTCCGTTTCGGGTGTATTCCGCTATTTCTGATCTTTCGGTAAACATTGTCAAGCAGAGCCTTTCATGTTCCCTGATCCGTTTGATGATTTTTCTCCCTGTTTCGCAAATATATTTCTGTTTGCAGATGCCACATCCTATGCAGTAAACTCCTAAGCAATTCAATGTTGTGTGTTCAGACTTATGAAGAGTGTTGCTTTTCCTTCGTAGTCACCTGATTATTCCATTTTATTAATATTGTCCTTAGTTTTTGAGTCAGTTGGCATGAACTTAGGCATATCCACATTTGTGATTCTTTCTCCGTATTTACCCTTCCTTCATAGCCTCTCTCCTGCCATGGAATTTTAATGGCCCGTATGCTTATTTTTAATACGTCTATCGGTCATCCGTTGCCGAGGCATATCCGAGTCAAGTTGTCCCATTCTTCGTCAAACAATTCCACATCCGTTAATCGTAAGCTTCTGTTGAGCACGCTCCTCATTATTCTTGGATTTAGCCTGTAGTTGTGATAAGACTGGGAATTAAGTATTATTCAGACCTAACGCTTGAGCGTCCCGTTAGAGCGAATGACTTCAATATCCAGCAAAGCTCGCCGCTTCTATTCCTCTACTTCCATTGTGAATTTGCTCCTTTCATCAATCTGGTTCATAATCTCCAGGACATATCCTCGTTTTTCTCTTCTATGCAGCCAAAGTGCGAAGTGGTCGTCTAGATACTATCTGAGCACTCTTGGTGGCTACAGAGACATCATGACGTTCTCCTCTTTTTGCTCATGAAGATATTTGCAAAAATATGAGAGTGGTGACTCCGTAGGAAGCCCAAATATTTGCCCATAGTAATTCCCGTTTAAGGTAAAGTAGCTGGTCCTTGTTTTTAAGTTGCTTAGTTCTGTTAACGACTCCCTCCTGATGCTTTTTCCTTCAAGGATATGCTATTCTCAATCCAAGGTCTCCAGCATGGTTGTTAGTGGCTTGTGCATCAAAACTTACCAATAATATTGTATCTTCCAGTACCATGTTTTTTATCCTTTGAGAAAATTCATATGAATGTCTCATTGTGTTTGACAGCCAGTCGTTTAATTTATTGAGCTTGAAACGTAAGAACTTCGCCAATTTGCGTTTTGCTCTGTACTTGTTGTGGACTATCACCCTTAGTGGTTTGCCTTCTTTGTATATCGTCGCTAATCTGTAGGTTGTTGTTGGTCGTGCTTCCTTTTCTATTAGTGAATTTATCATCCATCCGTCAATATCGCCGATCTTATGCATATATTTCAACATGTCCCGTAATGTTACCTTGACCTACATAGTTGGGTCCTTTCGTACACGATACTTGACCCTGTCTTGCAGTATATATTCCATCTTCTTGTTCTATTGTATACTGTCCATTATCACTGTCACTCCTCGTGTATCTGCCTAAATGACTAATTGTTCATTTCCTTGTAGGGTCCTGCATATCTTCGCAGATACGTTCCTGCTTGTTGACTCCGGATGTGCCAATATTATTGGAATTATTTTCATCTCCATTTCCCGTTTTGTCTCTTCAGGTAACCTGTTGGAGATATTGATGACCTCTAAAAAGATGTCTTCTAGAACGTTAATGTCATTCAGAAGAGAACCATTTATCCCTTCTTCAGGATCGTAACGATTTCCCAATCAAGAGATACCAAGTATAAATTCATTTATTTTTCCCGATCGCCGTACTGATCAATAGGCGTTGTCACTTCGGAAGCTACATCAAATAGGCACGCTTGCTTTACTTTGTGTTGTCTCATAATCCTATATCTGGACAATTTTTCGTTATGATTCTACGTTATTAAGTCAAAGATTTAATGTGATTTCTTGTCAGTGAAGGTGTGATATGAGGATATAGGAAATGTGAATAGCCCGGGGCAACGGGGAGATACCACAACTGTTTAGCACACTTTTGGTCAAAGGATCGGCTTCACTTGTCTCTTTGACGAATTGTTGTGTGGTGCTAAGAATAGTGCGACTCACTGACGATGCCGGCGAAACGTCCATGGTCCTACTTTGGAAATGATGATGCATAAAATGGACTCTGGGCTAGGTGCGTTCTTCTAACTCTTCTCACCAATATGAACAAGTTGCGAAAACAAGGTCAAACGATTTCTATACAAACAAAAGGCCCCAGCATCTGGGTCTTCATACCTTCTAAATAAACGGTCTGACAAATAATCTTATTAACCCTAAGCAAATAAAGCGTCTCTTTAGGTCACAGAATCCAGGAACCATATCGTAACATCAACCTTTGTTTAATGGCATGCTTGACTTACAATCGTCTTCTTTGTGCGGCTGTATTTAGTGCATTGGCTGGCAACGAAGAACAAGTCTACGGTCCGACTCTGGAAATTATCATGCATACTATGGACTCCGGACAAGTACGTTCCTCTCAGTCTTCCTACCGATATTTTACTTTACAAAGTATCATCTGCAACGGGAAAAATTTGGCAATCACGACGACATACCCTCAAGCGGCGTAATTATGTTCTAATG